AGAGAATGTCCTTCCATGCTGTGCTGCCTCGGCTTGGGGGAGGGGTAACACAACTAATGAAAAACTGTTCTACTTACCCTTTTGTTGTTAACATAAGCATTTATTTCTATGTCCATGTCCAGTTTTACACACACACACACACACACACACACGAATTTAAGTTCTTTGTAATGGAGGAAATACCAGTGAATTCTTTTGGCCCATATTTTTCTTAAAAGTTCTTATTATGTTGTCACTTTGAAGTATAATTTTAATGTGTATAGGATCCTGGGTTAGCCTTTTTTTTTTTTAAACCCGTCTCCTGCCAATGCTTTATAGACAACACTTTGAAGTCTTGTAGCTTGCATGGTTTCTAAGGAGTAATCTGTAATCTTATTGTTGGTTTTCTGTACATAATGTATATTTTCTCTAGCTGCTTTCAACATTTTCTCTTTTTTTGGCAGTTTGACTATGAAGTGTCCTGCATTGTGTATGTGTGTGTGTCTACTTGATATTTGTTCTACAGGGAATTCTCCGAGTTCTTATATCTAATTTGGTGTTATTTTCATTAGTTTTGGAAAATCCTTGGCTATTATTCCTTCAGATATTTCTTCTATTGTTTTCTCTTTTTTCTCTGGGACTCCAATTTCATATATAGGTTACCTCTTGGATCTTCTGTTCTTATTGTTTACTAACCCTTTCTCATCTGTCTTATTTTTTAAATTTTGCATGGTTTTTTAAATTTCTTTCTAAAATTTATTCTAATTTGTTATATATGACAGCAGAATTGCCCCCCCCCCCCAATTCCCATTATGAATCAACATCCTTATATCAGAGAAAACATTTGGCATTTGGTTTTGGGGGATTGGCTTACTTCACTAGCATTATATTCTCCAACTTCATCCATTTACTTGCAAGTGCCATGATTTTATTCTCTTTTGATGCTGAGTAATATTCCATTGTGTTTATATACCACATTTTCTTTATCCATTCATCTACTGAAGGGCATCTAGGTTGGTTCCACAGTTTGGCTATTGTAAATTGTGCTGCTATAAACATTGATGTGGCTGTGTCCCTGTAGTATGCTGTTTTTAAGTCTTTTGTGTGTAGATCAAGGAGTGAGATAGCTGATTCAAATGGTGGTTCCATTCCCAGTTTTCCAAGGAATCTCCCTACTGCTTCACATATTGGCAGAACTAATTTTCAGTTCCACCAGCCAATGTATGAGTGTGCCTTTTCCCCCACATCCTCGCCAACACTTATTTTTGTTTGTATTCTTAATAGCTGCCATTCTGACTGGAGTGAGATGAAATCTTAGAGTAGTTTTAATTTGCATTTATCTAATTGCTAGAAATGTTGAACATTTTTTCATATATTTGTTGATTGATTATATATCCTCTTCTGAGAAGTGTCTGTTCAGTTCCTTGGCCCATTTATTGATTGGGTTATTTGTTTTTGTTTTTGGTGTTAAGATTTTTGAGTTCTTTATATATCCTAGAGATTAGTGCTCTATCTGATGTGCATGGGGTAAAAATTTGCTCCCATTCTGTTGGCTCTCTATTTACCTCAACGACTGTTTCTTTTGCTGAGAAGAAGCTTTTTTAGCAATCTATGTCTTTTGATTGATGAGTTTAGGCTGTTAACATTCAAGGTTATTCTTGAAATGTGATTTGTATTCCCTGTCATTTTGACTTATTTCTGGTTTTTGATTTGTCTCAGTTTCTCATTTGGTTGAACTTTTCTTTAGTGTAGTTTCTCCCTTTGCTGGTTTTTCTTTTTTCCCACTTCATCCTCATGGAATATTTTGTTGAGAATGTTTTGTAGTGTAGGCTTTTTAGTTGTGAATTCTTTTAATTTTTGTTTATCATGGAAGGTTTTAATTTCATATTGATATATGAAACTTAATTTTACTGTATTTAAAATTTTTGGATTGGCATCTGTTTTCTTTCATTGCTTGAAATTTATTATTCCAGGACCTCATAGCTTTGAGGGTCTGGGTTGAGAAATCAGTTAAGATCTGAATTGTTTTCCTCCCATACATAATTTGATTTTTTTCTCTCATAGCCTTTATGATTTTATATTTTTTCTTTGTGTTATTCATTCTCATTATAATGTGTCTTGGTGTGGGTATGCTGTAATTTTGTACATTTGGGGTTCTGTAAGCCTCTTGTATTTAATTTTCTATTTCATGCTTTAGGTTTGGGAAAATTTCTGCAATTATATCATTGAAAAGGTTGTGCATTCCTTTGGTTTGTATTTCTGTTTCATCTATTCTGATACTTCTTAAATTTGGTTTTTTTCTTGTTATCCCATAATTCTTGGATGTTCTGTGCATGGTTTCTTACCATCTTCTCTGCATGGTGAGCTCTACTTTCAATATTATATATTTTGTCTTCATTGTCTGAGGTTCAGTTGTTTTGTCTGTTGGTGATGCTTTCTATTGAATTTATAATTTGGTTTACTGATTGCTTCATTTTGAGGATTTTTGCTTTTTTTTTTCCCCTCACTAACTCCTTATTGAAGTGATCTTTCACTTTCTGTACTTTTTCTTTGATTACACTCCTTATGTTGTCCTTGACTTCATAAATCCATTGAACTATGTACATTCTGAACTCCTTCTTGGACATTTCTTCTACTGTGTTATCAGTGGTTTCTGTTGTTGAAACATCTTGGTTTGTTTGGGGTGCTTTATTCCCTTGTTTTTTCATGTTGTTCATGTATTTTCCCATCTAAAAGTATGGATCTAAGGCAGCACAAATTCTATCCTATAGTCCTATAATGTCCCTGAAGGTTTCTAGCACCTTGCCTTTAATGGTGTCAACAGCACCCAGTGTAAAAAATATATAGTCTTAAACCTAATGGTTCCCACTAAGGCATCCACTGCTTTCTCACACTAAACCAAACTATCTATAATATAAAGAGAAAATTTGTTAAAACAATTTACAATTTCAAATGGTGAATAAGATACCAGAGGTAGTATAGTATGTGATATTCATGAGGGAGGAAGAAAGAAGCTAGAAGCAAAAATTCACAAGAAGAGTGGAAGAGGTGTCGACAGAGATTGGCTGTTGGTTGCAGAAAATTTGGAAAGAAAATCCAAGAAAACAGATGAGAGAGGAAGAATATGAACAAAGAGAAAAAATTAAAGACATAAGAATACAACAAAAATGCAAAACACCATATGTGACTGCATGACCAATGTAATTCTGCAACCTGTACACTCAGAAAAATGAGAAATTATATCCCATCTGATTCAAATGTATGATATGTCAAGATCATTGTACTGTCATGTGTAACTAATTAAAACAAATTAAAAAAAAGAAAAAAGAAATGCAAGATAAAAAAATTAAAAAAAATGCAAAACATCATTGATATATCAGTGTCCTCCACACACTGATGCTTAAAAAGCACCCTGTTCCAAATATGGTGGAGATATTAGTGAATTAAAAAATAAAATATGGAAAGCCAATCTGTCTCTATCGGTGTTCAACAGTTTCTCAGCCCTGTCTCTGTTGTCTTTTGGGATCACCAGATCCAGATCAGCCCTCACAGACTCTGTAATTATCGCACAGATCAGGGCTTCAGATACTTCAGACTCGGTCACCTGTAGTCCCAAGATCTCAATGCTGCTCCTACTTGCAGAGAGACAACTAGGAATACACTCTTGCGAAAGAGCAACCTTGAGATGCAGGAGGAAGACAAGGGCCACCAGCACTCCCAGTAGGAAGACCCCAGACACCTCCAAACTCGCAGGCACCCCCACAATGGACCTACAGGTCTCCACTGGAGTCCCCAGACAGTGGCTCTTGTGGTGGTAAACCTCAGGACCTGGCTGGTGTCCCAGTGGGTGCAGCCGTGTGGAACCAACCCTGGAGTCTCCCCCGCAGCAGTCCTCTAGGCTATGGTAGCAGTGGTAGTGGTGGTGGTTGTTGGTAGCAGGCCGAGGATCAGTAGCAGTGGCAGCTGCAGTGGTGGCTGCTGTAGGGTCAGCATCACCAGATGATCACGGGGGGGGGGGGGGGGCGGGGGAGCGAGGGGAGAGGCTGTCAAAAGCTCTGTCGGTGTCAGGTGCATCCAGGGCAGTGGTGTCTCCTGTGGCAACAGCAAGTGGTTATAGCTGCAAGGGCAGCAGCACCCAGAAAGAAGACTTCCAGGTGACCTTGGGATGGCAGCAGTGGCATCAGAGGCAGCAGTGATCCATTTTTAAAAAATATTTAAAATATATTTTTAGTTTTAGGTGGACACAATATCTTTTTAAAAATATTAATGTGGTGCTAACGATCGAACACAGTGCCTCATGCTTGCGAGTCGAGCACTCTACCATTGAGCCACAACCCTAGCCCTAATTACAGTTTTGTAAATATTAAAAAAATTTTCATTATAGAGACAATGGAAGAGAAAAGTTTTATAACTATTTCTAATTTGAGTAAATAATATGCATTTCTAGACATCTTTTTGACCCTTTTATTTTTATAGTGAAAAGTTAACTTTTATTTTTACAATCCCCTTTGTTAGGCTATTAAAATTTTACATATTTTTAACAGCTAAGTGGTGTCCCCTCTGTTTGGATTCTTTGGATTATACCAATTTAGATAGTGTCTCATTTATTTGAAGTTTATAGATTTTGGCTTCACTATGTATGTCCAATTAGCTTCCTATATTTTTAAAGGTATACTGTTGAAGAAAAACATTATAAATATTTTAAAGTATATGATTGAAAAATATTGCAAATGGTAAGTAGAAATTTTAGAGTTCTTATTAAAAGAAACACTTGCATAAACGTGTGTTAATTGATTTTTAAATTAATATGAATAACAGAAAGTAGAACTAATTGTAACATTTTTTACAGTAGTGTGCCATGCAAGATGTTATTCTGTAAGCATAAAATTAAATTTTTATTTTCATTCTATGTAGTTTTAATTACGAAATTATACACACACACACACACACACACATATATGTATTTCTTTTTATGAGACCATAAGGGAAACCATTTTTTTTCTTGTCTGTTTTCTCTGCAGAAAACTTCATCAGCAGTTTGAAATGTATAAGGAGCAGGTTAAGAAGATGGGAGAAGAATCACAGCAACAGCAAGAACAGAAGGGTGATGCCCCAACTTGTGGTATCTGCCACAAAACGAAATTTGCTGATGGATGTGGCCATAACTGTTCATATTGCCAAACAAAATTCTGTGCTCGTTGTGGAGGTCGAGTGTCATTACGCTCAAACAAGGTACAGAAATGAAAACATGATAGTTCTCTTATAGTTAAGCTTATTGTGAATCAAAAAAATGAAAACAGAAATTACTACTTATGGTGTCCTCATTTTAGATAAAGTTTCTTTAAATTTTCACAGAATTTTAAATATATTTTTCTCATTGTTTTGTGTCAGCTAGCTTTTGATTTTGTTAGAATTTTATGATCTCAGACTTTCAAAGACAATGAAGACAATTTAAGAGATGATTTGGCCTCACTCCTTTATTTTTCTGGTGCAGGAAACTCAGACCCCGAGAAACTAAATTGTATTCTTAGAGCATGCAATTGATCAATGATAGAATTTTAATATAGTTTCTCCACTGCTACACATAGTTGTTTTTTTACAAAGATAAAGAGCTATCAAATTTTATTGAATCATAATATTCTGTAACTAAACATTTTGAGGAGTTTATTATTAATACACATAACCCATTCCTCGGATATGCAACACATTGCCTTATTTTTAATAGGGAAAAGCACAAAAATGCCAACTTTTTTTGGCAGTAGGTTTTCTACAAACACAATGGTCCATCCCAAAGAGAGACAAGTATATTTATAATACTTGGGACTGTTTTAGTTCAGGTAGTTAACTCTCTACAGATGACAGTTTTACAAACCTTATAGATCTGTTCTTCCTTGGTCTGTTTCCTTTCCTTTTGAAAGGAGCCTTTGAGATTCTTTTCATAATTTTATAGCTTTTGAAGCTACATGTTCTTTTGTTGCTTTTTTAACATTAATAGAAAAATATTAGACTATGATTATGGAAACTAGAATTTAAGGAAGAAATATTAAAGTTTTTTTATACTTATACAACATGTTTGTAGTTTACCTCTCTACGTTAGGGAACATGTTAATGCTATCCAAAGAATATTTTGTTGAAATTAGCAAAAACAATATTTAAAAATGTTCATTACAGTAAGTTTTTTAGATTTGCCTTTATATCCTCACTAGTATCTTATCACCTAACTATTTACTTAGGTAGTTTTTAAATGGGAAACTGATATCTTCATATATATTACTTGGACATAATTGTGGGAATTTATTCTCTGCTGTAATTTCATTTCTTCGTTTTCTCATTGTGCCCTTTATCAATGTGCTGTTTCATCCAGAACTAATCATGTACTTCTCCTAACCTTTTCCCTTTGGCTTACTTGATTAAGTTTTTTCCCCCCCTCTTCTAAGTAGTGCATTGGCTAGAAACTCCATTATTATTTTCCATAGAAATGGTGAAAGTAGACAACATTTTTTTTTTTTTTTTTTGGCAGGGGGAGGGTTACCAGGGATTGAATCCAGGAATGCTTAACCAATGAGCCCCAGGCCTTTTTTGTATTTCATTTAGAGAAAAGGTCTTGCTGAGTTGCTTAGGGCCTTGCTAAATTGCTAAGGCTGACTTTGAACTCATGATCCTCCTGTCTCAGCCTCCAGAGTCCCTGGGACTATAGGTGGGCTTCACTGATGTGGCTCCTGGTGTTGTTCTCAATTATAGGGGGAAAGTATTCAGTCTCACTGTCAGGTCTAATGTTAGCTGTATTTTCATAGATGGCAACTAGACCAATTTGCTGAGAGTTTTGGTTTTTAAATAATCAATAGACTTTGGGCTTTTTCAAAGCTTTTTCTCCATCTATTGAGATTAAGGTTATATTTCTTCCTTTCTTTGTGAATATGATGAAGCTTACATTGATTGATTTTTGAATGTTAACCCAACTCTATTTCTGTGATAAACCCTATTTGGTCATGATAGACTATCCATTTTCTATATTAATGATTCGAAAAAAATTTGTTTTGAATTTTTGCTTCTATGATCATTAGGCATATTATCTGTATGTTTTTTTTTCTTGCAGGATTTTTCTTTGGTTTTGAAATTAGTTTAATGCTGGCCTATTGGAATGAGTTGGGAAGTATTATCTTCCATGTTTTGGGAGAGTTTGTGTAAAAATTGTATTATTTCATTTTTCATTGGTTGGTGGTATTTCACCAGTAAAGCCATCTGGACATGCAGTTTTATTTGTTAAAAGGGGGTATAGTTTTAATTCCTTAATATAGTGTTACTCATGTTACATATTTTTTTCTTGAATGAGTTTGCATAACAATGTCTCTCAAGGAATTTGTCCATTTCCTCATAAGTTGTCAAATTTATTGGTATAAAATTGTAGTATTCCATTATTTTTCTTTTAACATCATAGAATCTGTAGTAATATCACATCTATATTTCTTAATATTGGTAATTTGTATATTTTCTCTTTTTTCCCCCTATTCGGTCTAGCTAGATTTTTTTTGTTAATTTTGTTGAATTTCTCAAAAAATCACCTTTTGGTTCCATTGATTTTTCACCACAAATGGCTCAAACTATTCTTATGAGGTAGAAAACTGAAAATACAAGTATTTTATAGATTAACTTAATTATGAAGCTGTTAAAAATTCTTTTTGTAATACCCTAAGATGATAAAATAGCCTTTTATTTTGAGACTTTTCCATATGGAGCCATCCTTAACAATTATTTATATTTCTTAAGGTACATTAAGGATACACAGAGAATAAATGAAATGTTGGACATATGGAAGTACCAATACAACAAGATTTTATAAAATACTTCTAGCATTTATTATCTTTTAAGATGATTCCCCATTAATAAATACATACTATATATTTTATCAAATGAAAAAATAATTTTTAAGCAAGAAATTATTTTGTAATCATTGAATGGTGTTATTGAAAAGAAATTAAAGGTAATTACAATGAGGATTATTATTATTATTTTTTCCTGGAGACTGAAACAAGGGACGCTTTACCAGTGAGCTATACCTCCAGTACTTTTGTTATTTTGAGGCAGGGTCTTACTGAGTTTTTGAGAGTTTCCTTAAATTGCTAAGATTGGCCTTGAACAATGATCCTCCTGCCTTAGCCTCCCAAGTCCAGTGGGATTATTTTAAGCTTCAAGTGTAGTAACTTCAACTTTTCATTTCTTTTATCTTTTGGTAGGAAAAACAAATTACTCTCTGCTTAGTTACTATTTGCTTGATTAAATATAATGATGTGTATTTTTCAGAATTGTTAAAATTAAATAAGAACTTAAAATGTGACATGAAATTTTGTCACTTTAATTGTCAGATTTGAAGCACAATAAATTAAAACTTTATAAAGTTTATTAAAGTGAAACTCAGGTCCTTTAAAATATATTGAAATACACGTGTTCAAATATCAGTAGGAATGGATTGATAATACTGATGTTATTGTATAAGCAAATCATTAATATCATTTATACAAGTGATTTTAATGACTAGTAATTAAACTATGCATTGAGAAATCCAATAATGATGAGAATGTTTTTGTAATCCTCCAGGTACTTCTTTTTAAAAAATTACATGCCACTGTGATTATGTGCAAGTTTATAGACACTGTGCTAGTACAATATGACATCAATTTCCATAAATTAAAGGCAAAAATATTGTGTATGAATTTTCTTTTGGACTTTGTAATATCACTACATACTAGAATCTCCGAAAGAATTGAAAATTCTCCAGGGAGAGGGTGGCATAAGTTAAAAAAAATCAAGAGAACCAAAGTCTGTTTTTGCCCTGGTTTTACCTATTTATTTGACCTGTCATTTTATCTCATAGTGCTTCTATAATCTGTAAAATGAAGTCATTGATCTAAATAATTTCTAAAGTCTCTTCTTGATTTAATATTTTATGATTTTATAATTTACATTATATTACTTGTATAATTCTTGACATACCTGAAAATTATATTCATGTAGACAGTTATTTCTACCATTTAGGTAATTATTTATTGATTATTATTAGAAGTTATTATAAATAGAATGTATTGGAATTAAGCTTCAATTTTTATTCCTTTTTACATTTGTATAACATGGAGGTGTTGAGGGTACCACTATTTTAGAAAACTGTGTTCATAGGAATTTGAGGAATGGATAAAGCAGACAAGCTCATCAGAATTTTACAGGGTCATCATTAAGCAAATATCATATCAGATAGATTCTCACTTTCATGCCTCTAGGCTGAATAACCTAGACTGTGTGAGAATATTATTATAAAATAGTTGTGGAATTTAAAAGGAAGGGATAATTATTTCTGTTTACTGATGTTGACCTTTCCAATGGTGCAAGATATTTTAATGACTTAAAAAAATTTAACTTGCAGAACTAGGATATTTTATAATTCTTAATGCATATTAGTATTGTGAAAGGAAGCAAAATAAAGTTTGAGTCAAGTATAAAGGTGTTATATTTAAAGCTTCGTCCCAGGGTTTCATAAACTAACTTCCAGACCACTCACTATAATCATATCAAGCCTTTATTGAAGCACGCTAGTGGTGACTGACCAGAACATAAAGCTGTCCCAAACAATTGCCAGGGCGCTCCTTATAAGCCTGAAAACCTCAAAAGGGATGTTCAGGGTCTAGCCAATGCAAGCAAGCCAGGTTACAGAAGTGGTAGAGTGCAGTCAAGTGGCGGGAAGCCTAACCAATTACAGTTAGCCCAATCACCCCAGTTATAGAAAGCCTAACCAATCACAGTTAGCCCAATCACCCCAGTTACAGAAACAGAGCCCCGTTACCCTAGTTGCAGAAACAATGCCCCATTAGGTAGTTCTGTGTTCTTAAAGGTTTCTATAGCAAAAGGAAAGGAACATTTTGCCCCAGTTATGACCCTTGTAGTTGGCATGGTTGTTTTACAGAATGGAGTCACAAAACAAAATGGAGTCACATTTCCTTTTACTATCACATTCCCCATTGGTTTTAGTAGGTTTGATATCAATCTTGCACATCATTAGGCCTCAGTTTCTTTTCCATCCTTCTGTGTCTAAGGGACCATATTGGTCTGACTTATGGTCAGACCTCACCTACATTCTTTTGTATATGGTTTAGGAGGGTTTTTAAGAGGCAGGGCCCTACAGTAATCCCAATCAGGAGGAGGACTAGGGGCCCAACTATGGCTAAAATGATGGTAGTCAACCA